TTCGTCTCGGCGAGCTGAGTCGAACGGTACCACTCTCCAGGTGCGGAAATGCCTGTGGACCGAGATACAGGTCCCTGAAATTTGAAAAACCATAGGGGGGAGTAAGCACTTTTTTGGGGTGAAAAAATCGATTTTCTGAATAATAGCTCATTCGAAAGAGCTCCTCAAGCTGAGTCGAATGACACCAAAATCACTGTGATTGGACGAGAATGAACCGAGATATAGGGCTCGAAATGGTCAACTTAAACCTATGGAGCGTCGGCGAGGCGCTTGTGCAAAACCCTGCGCTTCGCGCGGAGTTTTGCGGCACGCGCCTCGCGGGGAGTCTACGGTCGCTGGGTCTGGGCTCGTAACTTAATCCTATTTCTTTTTACTGATTCTCAGCCTTAAATGCCGACCTACCCTCCGTAACAACACCAAAACTGTTATTCAATCGAAAATTGAATTGTTCATAATTTTGTTCAGAATGATCGGATCAAGCTGATTTTGGTGTCATTCAACTCAGCTCGTCGAGCTCTTTCGAATGAGCTATCATTTGTATAATCGAATTTTTGACCCCAAAAATCACCCCAGAAATTTGACCATTTCGAGCCCTATATCTCGGTTCATACTCGTCCAATCACAGTGATTTTGGTGTCATTCGACTCAGCTCGAGGAGCTCTTTCGAATGAGCTATTATTCAGAAAATCGATTTTTTCACCCCAAAAAGTGCTTACTCCCCCCTTTGGTTTTTCAAATTCCAGGGACCTATATCTCGGTCCACAGGCATTTCCGCACCTGGAGAGTGGTACCGTTCGACTCAGCTCGCCGAGACGAATCGAATGACATATCATTTGACCCGGTTCGGTGCAGGCCCTCGACTAAACTACAGCCAAATTTTCTACTTGAAGGGTCCAATTTTTAATACAATCAATGTGAAATACATGCCCACAAGAAATTGAAAACATATTTTTGTAAGTTAAAGGTTCTGAACAAATAACACAAATAAATTTGGTAGAAGACATTTAAATATCTGAAATTGAATTCAAATATAAAAAACTTGGATAGGTGTAAATAGGTGAAAAATGAAAAAACAAGAAAAAGAAATACATATGTATGTACTGAAAAAATAATCCGAAATAATTAGGAAGAAAAGAGCAAAAAGCGAGTAAAAAGTATATTTAGAGTAAGTTGAGCGCTGCAAATTAGAGCAATCAAATGGCATTAGATCCCATGGATTTATTTAAATATGCACAGTATATTAAATTTTATTAGGTCGGGTCATAATTAGTGTCGCTTTTTTTATTTGGGTTTTTTCGATTTTTAAAATTAAGTTTTCTGAAAAATTTTTTTATTTTTATTACGAATCATCTGTTAGACTATGCTCTAAAGGATCCCAGCATTTGAGAATTTTTCGTTAGGTATTCAGTGAGTTCTGGTCGAAAATATCAAAATTCCCGAAATCATCGGGAATCAAATTTTCTCAAGTATACGTAATGATAATAGTTAGTGTGATATATCATTCGAAAGCTCTTCAAAAGCTCTAAATGTTGGGCACAATTTCAAATTTTTATTATGAAAGGTCTAAATCTTCGAAAAAGTCGAATTTCGAATTCCGGGGTTCGACACGATTTACAGACTTTATATTTCGGATTTAGAATAAGCCCTCTATGAGATTTAAAAAACCGTTTAGATCATCCTGATCGGATAATTTTACGCTGAGTTCTAAGAAAACGTTTTTGGGGGTGATGTCGTGTCGTTTGTTTCATTTTTGAGATGTTAGTACACGCGGCATTTGATTTGCTCTCCTTAAGCGCAGCCCGCGTTTTTTCAGTCACCCGTGGCCATACGTATAGAGCAGATATCCCTCGATAATTCAGCAGTAAAAATTACCGGATTCCATCTAAGCCGGCAGAGCAGGACCGTTTTCTTAATGACAGCCTTCTCCCTCGACCATGTTTGCTTCTGAGAGTCATACGGCCTTCCTAGTAAAGTTTGAATCCTATTCTTTGCTGTCTAGCATAGACAACGATCCCATTTACTAAATCATTAAGATTCCTTGTTTCTTATGTTCCATTTTTGGTAATTTATAATTCATGGTGCAAATGCTACTACGAGGTAGGGAAGTTCAAAAAATCATAACTTTATGAATTTCACTCATATATACCTAAACCTGGTTTTAAAATGAAGAGTAGATTCAGATCTTTATGTTGGTTAAAAAGAAAAAATAATATTTGTAAAATAACACCCCTAAAAATTTAACCGAAAAAAAGCGACACTAATTATGACCCGACCTAATAAATTATATAAGAAATTTTAGAACAAAAATAAGATTTTTTAGAACAGAGCTCAAATTTTAGGCCACTCAGAATCAATAAAAATATTTTGTGAAATTTTTATTAACAAAAAAGCAAAAATAAAGAAGTAAATAATATAGTGTATTAATATGGTAAAGCATATCCTAAAGCTACGCAGGAGTCGGCGTTGTTAGTGGAGTCACCGTTTTGCCGTTTTGTTTTGGTTCGCTCCCATTCACGTTTCTGCTTTACTATATGAACACATTTAAATAAAATATCGGCTTTAATTTTCTCTCTTTTTAGTTAATTTTAAGCAATGGAAAATATTTGAGTAAATAAAATAAAGAGGAGAGAGTTAACAACACAAAAAATAAAATCCAAACAAAAAATTCCAACAAAAAAAATACCAAATTTAGAAATTAATGTAAACAAGACAAGTAAAATGATTGTTGGCCAAATAAAAATTTTACTATTTCATTTTTAGTTCACTTTTAGGCAATTGGAAGCATTTAAACAAACACACTAAATTTGAGCCATCCAAACATAAAGCTCATCCAAAACTAAAAATTTTATTAAATTATTCAAAAAAATTATTAAGCAAATTTATATAAATTTAATTTTAAGCACGGTTAATAATCAAATTTTAATTAAATATATTAATTCTATCAGTCTTCAAATAATTGTTTTCCGAGAGTTGTTCTTCAGATTTTTTAAAATTTTAATAACAAATTTTTGTCTTGTAGTTCCTACACAAAAATCTCTACTTTTTTTATTTTTACTTATTATTTACTTTAACTTACTGTCAACGGTTGTTGGCTACCAGTTCTAAAACCAAAAATTTTCCAAAAATTAAGCGTTTTTATGAGATTTTAGAACCCAAATTTATTGAATGAGTAGCGGGTTTTTAAAATCTGGATTAACTGAAAACAAAAGTTATCGTCTAATAATCGTTAGTGAACAACAATAGTAATTAAGGTTGTCAGATAGTTGGAAATATTCGGATATTCGGATACAATATCCGAGCCACAAACAGATCTGACAACCTTACTAGTAATGACTAAGGCTCGCAATCATATGGAAATTTATATTTTTTCCTGCATTTCCTAGGACCTACATAGATAATTCTGTACCTAACTAACAAAATTTTTTTATTTAAATTTTGTAAAAAATTTTTTCAGTTATTTAATTAAATATTTAAGAAGGAATTAATTAAAATGAATAGAAATTTTGTGAAAGATTGTAAAGTTTGTGGGTCAACAAAAAATGTTTACAATCATTATTGTGTCCGTACATGTAAAGCTTGTGGAGCTTTCTATACGTATTTTTTTAATTTAATTAAATTTCTATTAAATTATAATTAAAAAGTCGTTATCTCGAACAAAAAGAGGGCAAATATGATTGTATTTGTTTAACAAAAACAACTGAAATTAAAAGTAAAATTGTTTTTGATAAAAACACAAATAAAGAATTCCGATTAGTTTGTAAAGGTTGTCGGCTTGAAAAGTGTTTAGCTGTTGGAATGAAAAAACCAAGTAAATAATTAATTGAATTAAATAATTAAAAATGAATGGAAGAGAACCGGGGAGAGATTAAAAAATATGAGATTATTTAGATACGTTTTGGTTAAGTCCAATTATTTATCAATGAAAAGCCAGAAATGTCAATGTACGAATAACTATACTATTAGTTTCACGAACTACGGGGCCAATAAGATCTTGAAGTAAATAAAAGTGTTTTTATGTTTTAGAACCAACGTAAATAAGCAAAAAGTCTTTTTAGTCCCCGCAATCCAGATATATCTCCTAAGCTTAAGCATCATTCATAAATTATTTGGAAGAGTGGTCCAACTTATGTGGATCAGAAAATTGGACAGTTTCCAATAACTCTCCTTCTCTAATTTGGATTTTTATAAAATAAGCTGAATACTTTTAAAAGGAAAATACTCTTCTTGTGTTAATAAATTTAAAAATATTTCAGAAATTCCATATTTGCGCTACGATATTTGTCCTGAATCAGTGAAAGATATTGACACTAATGAGGAAAATACCGAAGGGTGTAAAGATAAAAATATATTTTCAATGAATCAAACGGTAAGATTTTTGTCAAAAGACATAAAAAATTAAAATTAAGGACTTTGTTGAAAATCCATTTAAAATTTCTGACACTGATCGTAAAGAGATTGATTCTCTACTACAAATTGTTAATGATACTAAACAAATATTGCATGCATTTACAGATTTAGACGATATATTCTTAAATTGTTCAGTCAAATTTGAGGATATTATTCTTCCCGGAATTAACATATTTACACAAATTGATTCTTTTGCGGTAAAATTATTAAAATTTGGGTAATATTGAAAGAGCTTTATACGGAATTAAATAACTTAAATGTTGTTAACAACTTCTCAAAGGACGTATGAGAGAAAAAATTTAGGCGAGATAAGAGTGACGTAAAAATATAACAAAATATCATAGAGAGTATTACAACATTTAGATTTCCTTCTCGAAGATTTTGATAACTTGGGAAATATTCAAAAAGATATGTTCAAAAAAGTCAAGAAAGAAGCATCTTTCAAAGGAGAGTATGTGGGGTGACCCAAAGTTCCACAATCACCCCCCACATACTCTCCTTTATCAGCGTCAAAATTTTTAAAAATATATTTTATTTTTAAGCCAAATCCTTTGCCTATTTCCTTAGAGAAATTAGCTATTTTGAAATTAGAAATGGAAAATGTTGGAATATTTAATAAACGAAATATTAAACAATTAATTGTCGACAAATTAGTTTGTGTTGCTATCGCAAAGACAATGCCTGTATTTAATAAATTGTCTTTATCTGATCAGGTAATATTTTTGTTTTGAATAAATGAATAGTTTTTTATTCAAAATTAGTCAGACTTATTTATGAAAATACCTCCATCCTCCCAATAGAGCTCTATTTTTTAACTATCATCGAAGTTGGGGATATATTTCATGTGGTTTTTTTCGGGAATGTTTCTTTGAGTCAGTATCGTTTCTCGCCGAGAAATGGAACGAGAATATCGGTTTCGAGAACGAGAATGAAAAAAACCAAGAGAAAAAAGCCGAAAATCTCGGTAACGGTCTCGTCTTTTCCAACTCTAATACTAATCGCTTAGATTTTTATAATTTCAATTATTTTGTTTTTTACGTTTATTAATAATTTATTATTTGAATAATTCCCAAAATTATTTCCCAATTTAATTTTCCTGAAATTTCCTATAATTTTTTTGATAATTTCCAGATAGCCCTACTCCGTCATATTTCATTCCCATTTATCTGTTTTGTTAATAGTTTTCTTTCATATGAACTTGGTGTTGTTACTTTTATGCGTAAAGATTGTGTTATGCCTGCGCTAAGCATAATTGAATGTAAACATTTCAGAAATGATGATTTGTATGAGAATTTTGATAATTTTTTTGAAATTAACAAATATTTAGATTATTTAAATTAACTGATCGTTTATTCACAAAATCTGTTGAGACTCTTAAGGAAGCCGAATTATCCACCGAAGAATTTGCACTTTTAACTGCAATATTCTTCTCACAATCAAGTAAAGGATTGAGTAATTTTTTGGGGTTTCAATAAAAGGCGTTGTAGATTCAGCGAATATAATTTTGGCAACCACTAATTATATTTATCATAAAATTTTGACAAAAGCTTTCTTTATTTATTTATTGGGCAAATTTAAACTAAAATTAGACTAAAATTAGAAAAAAGGCCAAAGTAGAATTTTGGACAAGAGTGTAAAATAGGATGAATAGTATTGTAAAACTCCTTAACAATTAATATAATTCAAAATCAAAACCGAATCCTTGCTCCTTACTCTCGGGAAGTTCAGGGAAAAATAATAAAAGACCTAAAAATCAGGTCCTAAAAGTATGTAATATTCATACTAGATCTAAAATATTAGAATAAAATCTAAATTTTTTCTCCTTTCTATGTAGTTGTCACTGGATTGTCTTACGAAGGAAAGGAGTTACTTTATAATGAATCTGTTCGTTACACACAAATACTTTTTCGATACATTCAACAACAATTTGGGGAATTTTCTTGTGCTAGCCGTTTAGATGAATGTTTCCGTTTAATTAATTATTTTTTTGAGAAAAGAAGGACTGGCCAAATGTTTTTTGGACATATTAAATTTAATTATCCAACTATTTGTAAATATCCAGATTTTATTTCAAATATTTTTGAAAAGAATGATTAAGAGAAATTAAAAATATTTTGAACAATGTTTTCATAAAAATTTTTATTATGTAAACATTAAAAATCAATTCCTTTTGTTGATTCCTTTTGTTGTTTATTTCCAAATTTTGTTGATTCAAAATTCCTGTAAAAGGAATTTGAATGGTATATCGGGGGTTTTGGTGGATTAAAGCGGATTTTGAGTGATACCGTGTGATTTCAAGAGGTCATAGGTAATAATATAAGGGTAAATATATCGGTTAAATGGTAAATATATCGGTGATTTGATATCTAGGGATCTGGCGGGATTAAGGATAATTCAAATTCGGGGAAGAAGGAGGATATCATGAAACTTGGGGGGTATCGGGCATATCAGTGGTTATTATTTTGAAATTTATAAGACATTTAAAAATAAATATTTGCACTTTATATTTAATAGAAAATTCATATGATTAGTCCACAAGCCATTAAATATTTTGAAATTCTATTTTATTTTTATTTATTTTGTCAATCGGCGGGATAAAAAAAATTATTTGCACTTTTTGTCAATTGAATACTTTAATATGACTAGTTTTAAATATTTTGAAATATTTTATTGACAAATAATCTTAAGTGATTAATAAAAAGTGCAAATATTTATTTTTAAATGCCGGCTATATTTCAAAAATAAATGGATAAATAAATAGTTATATTATGGCCATTTAATGGAAGAAAAGTTTGATTGATATTTATTATTGATATCCATTTATTTTCAATTAAGAGATTGTCTTAAAAATTATATCCAAATGAAATTCTCGAAGATTTTGTAACTTTTATCTCAATAATTAATATTTTGTTTTCATTTACATAAAAACATTGTCTAAGGAATATTAAACTACTATATTTTTAATAATAAAATTTAGATGATGAAATTTATTATTGTTTCTCACTTATATTTATTTTCCCTATTGAATATTAAATGTGAAGGAAAAAAAGTTAGTGTTCTAGTAAAAATCAAAGATGATTGGGAAGAAAAAAGAGAATTTATTTATTTAAAAAACGTCAAACTAAATGAGCGTTTTGTATCGAAAAAAATAATAAAAAATAATAACAAATATGATATTAGCTATAATTATAATGTTGATGGATTTTTACATCGAATAAACCGTGAAGGAAATATTTTTAATGTTGAACTAGATGATAGATTAGAATTTGCTGTAGAATTAAACAGGAGAGTTTTGATAAATATTGCAAATAATAAAATTATACAAAATATTTTGATTGGTTTTGGAAAACAGGTATTTCAATTTTGCTTAATTAAAAAATGATGCCAAAAAATATTCAATTATTAGCAGTTAAATTTGGTCATAAATTTAAGGTCCTCAGAAAAACTGAATTTATTAAAAATAAAAACAATTATTATGAAACTTCAATATTAGAAGAAAGTTTAGAAAAAACAAAAATAAATAAAAAAGAATTATTAAAACAAAATATGGAATCCTATAAAAACAAACTTTTGCCAAATTATTGGACGGAAATTAATTTAATTGGATATAAAATTGAATTGTTAGAAAAACAAAAAGTTGAATATCCGATAGAATTAAAAAGTAGAATTATTTCCATTGGCAACAAAATACGTAAAAAATTAATTGTCTTCGTTTATTTATTAATATCAAATCTTTATCTTTAAAGGTGAAATTATTGAAGAAAATAAACGACATTGCATCAATTGTAGAAATAAACACGATAAATATTGGCATAATTTCCTAAAAGAATATTATTTGTGTAACGCTTGTAACGTATATAAAAATAATAATGGAAAGCTTAGACCAAAAAAATTGTGGTTTAAAACTGAAAAGGTTTGGTTATTCGTTTTTTGGGGCGGTTATAAAAATGAATTTTAAAACCATTTAAATGATGTTTTATTATTTCTGAGTAAGAGACTAAAATGATAATATGAACTTCACTAAGAAGATTTTCATGCAATTTAATTTTTCGAAGTTTAGGTATTACGTAAAAAATTTAATATAAACCCCAAGCATTCTTTAGTTACTCGACTTTTAAAGTGTGTTTCTATTATTACATTAGAGATTTTACGGCATTTCTTTAATTATTTTAGCAAATTAAGCTAGATCGAAATTGTCTTATTTGCCGAGGTACAAAAACATCAAATTGGTACCGTCATTCAGAACCGGAGCAATATATATGTAATGCCTGTTACAAAAAACAACAAAGAATAAAGAAGAAAATAAATTAGAACTCAAAATTAAAATTGAATGACCCTACACATTTTAGTTCTGCGGATTAAATTATCTAAAATTATCGTATAATATGCAATCATTTCTATACTATTTCCATTTATTTTGATAATTTCAATAAATTTTATATGAAAAATCTTGGCATATTTCAATTTTCTTCTATTTTCGCCTTTATTTGTAATCATTTAACATTTCTCTTAGAAACTTTTTTTTAAATTTTGTATAATGAATGTTGCATATTTAAATGCAGAGTTTTGGATACTAAGTGCTATTTTGTATTCCCTTAAATTAAAACTCTACAACCCTTTATTGAATAAATTTTTACCGGAATAAGAGTAGCTTGGTAAAGAACACCGTAATATTTTTATTAGTGTTTCACCGGAACCGGATCCAATTTGAGGGCCGGATCCCGGACCTGAACGATTTGGGGGGTGCGCTATCAACATACATTTTAAATATTTTCTAAATAAAATTATTTTTTAAACAAAATTTAATAAATTTAAAAATTAAAATAAAATCAATTAAATGTTTATTTGCCCTTTGTCACATCTCTAATTTTTTAAAGCAACTGAATGTCTTGTCAATAAATGCCCTTTTTTGGATACACACTACGAGAGAAATGAATTGACAAATGCATATATTGACATTTTGCCAATAATATAAATTGCCGCTGAGTTTTGTTAAAGTTTCTTGCTGTTTTTCAAAAAATTTTATATTAATTTGATGACATAATACTAAACAAAGTCCATCCGAACAACGGGATTTCCCAAAAGGCGATCAACTTCTGAAATCATATGATTAATCAGAAACATTTCCCAGGTTAACGAGACTGATAGTAATAATTAATTGCTTTACGTAGTTTCGGAGGTAACGAAGTCTATACTTAGTCAAAGCAAACGGTAAAGCATTACCAAAAACAAACATCTTAAATGGCCACAAGCTTAATAAGTAAAACTCGGCTATGTATCATTTTAATTTTTGATAATTTTTTCTTGATAAAATTTTTTTATTTCATTTTTGTTGTTGATAATTTTGGAGACCTTTATGGAGATTTTCTACACGATAATTTATGGTGATATTTAGGTTTTTTTCACTATTGGCAAAATACAAGGATTTTTCAATATTGGCAAAATATAACTTTGGCAAAATATGATGGTATTTTAAGGAGTTGGGGAGGGGTGAAGCAGTAACGTTTAGAGAAGTTAAATGACATGGAAGGAATTGATTCACTCGACGCATTACCCTCTCTCACGTATTTCCCTCTTATCCCTCTTCTTTCTTCACCCCCCAAATGAGGGAAGGAATTGATTCACTCGACGCATTACCCTCTCTCACGTATTTCCCTCTTATCCCTCTTCTTTCTTCACCCCCCAAATGAGGGAAGGAATTGATTCACTCGACGCATTACCCTCTCTCACGTATTTCCCTCTTATCCCTCTTCTTTCTTCACCCCCCAAATGAGGGAAGGAATTGATTCACTCGACGCATTACCCTCTCTCACGTATTTCCCTCTTATCCCTCTTCTTTCTTCACCCCCCAAATGAGGGAAGGAATTGATTCACTCGACGCATTACCCTCTCTCACGTATTTCCCTCTTATCCCTCTTCTTTCTTCACCCCCCAAATGAGGGAAGGAATTGATTCACTCGACGCATTACCCTCTCTCACGTATTTCCCTCTTATCCCTCTTCTTTCTTCACCCCCCAAATGAGGGAAGGAATTGATTCACTCGACGCATTACCCTCTCTCACGTATTTCCCTCTTATCCCTCTTCTTTCTTCACCCCCCAAATGAGGGAAGGAATTGATTCACTCGACGCATTACCCTCTCTCACGTATTTCCCTCTTATCCCTCTTCTTTCTTCACCCCCCAAATGAGGGAAGGAATTGATTCACTCGACGCATTACCCTCTCTCACGTATTTCCTTCTTATCCCTCTTCTTTCTTCACCCCCCAAATGAGGGAAGGAATTGATTCACTCGACGCATTACCCTCTCTCACGTATTTCCCTCTTATCCCTCTTCTTTCTTCACCCCCCAAATGAGGGAAGGAATTGATTCACTCGACGCATTACCCTCTCTCACGTATTTCCCTCTTATCCCTCTTCTTTCTTCACCCCCCAAATGAGGGAAGGAATTGATTCACTCGACGCATTACCCTCTCTCACGTATTTCCCTCTTATCCCTCTTCTTTCTTCACCCCCCAAATGAGGGAAGGAATTGATTCACTCGACGCATTACCCTCTCTCACGTATTTCCCTCTTATCCCTCTTCTTTCTTCACCCCCCAAATGAGGGAAGGAATTGATTCACTCGACGCATTACCCTCTCTCACGTATTTCCCTTTTATCCCTCTTCTTTCTTCACCCCCCAAATGAGGGAAGGAATTGATTCACTCGACGCATTACCCTCTCTCACGTATTTCCCTCTTATCCCTCTTCTTTCTTCACCCCCCAAATGAGGGAAGGAATTGATTCACTCGACGCATTACCCTCTCTCACGTATTTCCCTCTTATCCCTCTTCTTTCTTCACCCCCCAAATGAGGGAAGGAATTGATTCACTCGACGCATTACCCTCTCTCACGTATTTCCCTCTTATCCCTCTTCTTTCTTCACCCCCCAAATGAGGGAAGGAATTGATTCACTCGACGCATTACCCTCTCTCACGTATTTCCCTCTTATCCCTCTTCTTTCTTCACCCCCCAAATGAGGGAAGGAATTGATTCACTCGACGCATTACCCTCTCTCACGTATTTCCCTTTTATCCCTCTTCTTTCTTCACCCCCCAAATGAGGGAAGGAATTGATTCACTCGACGCATTACCCTCTCTCACGTATTTCCCTCTTATCCCTCTTCTTTCTTCACCCCCCAAATGAGGGAAGGAATTGATTCACTCGACGCATTACCCTCTCTCACGTATTTCCCTCTTATCCCTCTTCTTTCTTCACCCCCCAAATGAGGGAAGGAATTGATTCACTCGACGCATTACCCTCTCTCAAGTATTTCCCTCTTATCCCTCTTCTTTCTTCACCCCCCAAATGAGGGAAGGAATTGATTCACTCGACGCATTACCCTCTCTCAAGTATTTCCCTTTTATCCGTCTTCTTTCTTCACCTCCCAAATGAGGGAAGGAATTGATTCACTCGACGCATTACCCTCTCTCACGTATTTCCCTCTTATCCCTCTTCTTTCTTCACCCCCCAAATGAGGGAAGGAATTGATTCACTCGACGCATTACCCTCTCTCACGTATTTCCCTCTTATCCCTCTTCTTTCTTCACCCCCCAAATGAGGGAAGGAATTGATTCACTCGACGCATTACCCTCTCTCACGTATTTCCCTCTTATCCCTCTTCTTTCTTCACCCCCCAAATGAGGGAAGGAATTGATTCACTCGACGCATTACCCTCTCTCACGTATTTCCCTTTTATCCCTCTTCTTTCTTCACCCCCCAAATGAGGGAAGGAATTGATTCACTCGACGCATTACCCTCTCTCACGTATTTCCCTCTTATCCCTCTTCTTTCTTCACCCCCCAAATGAGGGAAGGAATTGATTCACTCGACGCATTACCCTCTCTCACGTATTTCCCTCTTATCCCTCTTCTTTCTTCACCCCCCAAATGAGGGAAGGAATTGATTCACTCGACGCATTACCCTCTCTCAAGTATTTCCCTCTTATCCCTCTTCTTTCTTCACCCCCCAAATGAGGGAAGGAATTGATTCACTCGACGCATTACCCTCTCTCAAGTATTTCCCTTTTATCCGTCTTCTTTCTTCACCTCCCAAATGAGGGAAGGAATTGATTCACTCGACGCATTACCCTCTCTCACGTATTTCCCTCTTATCCCTCTTCTTTCTTCACCCCCCAAATGAGGGAAGGAATTGATTCACTCGACGCATTACCCTCTCTCACGTATTTCCCTCTTATCCCTCTTCTTTCTTCACCCCCCAAATGAGGGAAGGAATTGATTCACTCGACGCATTACCCTCTCTCACGTATTTCCCTCTTATCCCTCTTCTTTCTTCACCCCCCAAATGAGGGAAGGAATTGATTCACTCGACGCATTACCCTCTCTCACGTATTTCCCTCTTATCCCTCTTCTTTCTTCACCTCTCACACTTATTTCGCTCTTATCCTTCTTCTTTCTTCAGCCCCCTCTCCTCTCCTTTCTCAACAACGCTTGACAACGTTTATAGATGCATGCTTTCTTTGTTTAAATTCTATTGTTAACTAATTCGGGAATTAAAAAAGATTCGGGAAATTCAACGTCTCGTTTTAAATAGATAGAACGCCGTTATATTCCTTGAATATATGCATTGTTTTCTTAACATTTCTTGTGTTCGAGACTAAAAACAGTTGGACTGGGATCTCCAATAACACCGGACTTTTTCCTTTAAGCGCCGTAGGCGAAATTTTTGAGAGATATGGATGCATCAAGAAGACGAACGATTTCAAAGGTAAATTGTTGGATTGATGGGATAAAAGTTGATAAGATTATTTTTTTTATTAGCACATTTATGTTTAGCAGATATTGGTATTCAGATCAAAGGTTGCTCCTTTGAGTGCAACAGTATAAAATTTTCAGAATATTGGCAAAACCAATAAGCCAGATTTCTTTTTTTTTCAGCGCCGTAGGCAAAAATTTTGGGAATTTGGATTTGGCAAAAAATACCAAAATGCGATGGAGTCATGCACCGTGAAACTGCTGATTAGTTGAATTGCGTTGACTTCTCTTTGGAAAATTTCATAGAGATTTAATTTTTATTAATTAAATTCGATATTTTTTAAGTAATATAATTACTTTAAGAAAAAGTTTTTACTTTTTATTGTCAGAAATTTTAAGCAATATTCGAGGATGGAGCTGCAATTTAAAAATTCGTATCAATTTTCAAATCGGGATCCCGATGTTAGAGAATATAGAGGAATTGGCCAAAATCTCTTTCTCTGCTCTATCTTAGAAAAATGACAATTGAAACGTTGGCAATCTCTGATTGGTGGGCATTATATGTAAACGTCTATTAGAGGATTCCACATGGGAAGATAGAGAGTTAGAAAGGGAGGAGTTTCAGACAAATCCTCGTAATTTTTTACTCTCCATTCTTCAACTCCTCCCATATTTAGCTATGTTTTTAAGTCAGTCAAAATCTCTATTAAACTCGCATTCATTTTAAATTTAATTAACCACTTCAATTTGCTATCCGAATTGTTTGCCTTTAAGTTTTACTCAACTGAGCATGTTTAAATTATAAATTAATATTATCTAGCCTTTATCAGAGGGGAAATAGAGTAGATGTTATATAATAGTTTTAACTGCTCCCAAGGCCAAATAATATAAAATCTCTCAAACAAACTTGAATCTTGTTGACAAAATATTTTGTCAATATACATCCTATCCTATCCCTCTGTTGTGAATGGAAGGATGTGGATTGTGACAAAAGTGTGTGATGTAGATTATATGGGAGGAATGTCGACTGTAACTCTAAAGTTTCTTTGAAAGGGCTCCACTGCCACTTTTACCGTCGTAGAACACCCACACCTTTTATAAAATTTCATAATCAGCTTTGCTTTTTGGCTTGGTTATGTCTTTAATGAAGTAAAATATTTTAATTTTTATCCAGAGGAACAATGATTCTTCTTTCAATTCTATTTCAATTTGGCATAGCCTGGTTGCTTCTAACGGATTTAAATGGAATGAAATCTGGTAGTAGTAACACTATTACCAAAGAAATGGGAAAGAAAAGAGCTTTGGTTATTGCTCCCAACTTTCTTGAAGTTCATTTTAAAATGCTCAGTGTCTTCGCCAATGTGCTGACCGAAAAGTTTAATGTGGTGGGTGTTAGAAATATATAATTATGGTCTGCATTGTAGATATTATATTCTGATTTTAAAATTTTACTTGAACATTTTATTTATAAAATTATGCTTTTATAAAATATTCCAATTATTATATTTTATTTCCAAATTTTTAAATCCTTCCGTTGAAATATTATTTAACTAGGATGCACGCCGAACGCTCAGAGGCGGGGGAGCAAAGGGGTTCGGGTCGGGGTTTTAATTAAAAAATATTTTAAAAAATGCCCAAAGGTGTTGCTCTTATAACATTATAGACATAAAAAAATAAATTTAACATCGAAATATTTTTATGAGTAATTTGTTGTCACCTCATGACAATTTTAACATTCTATAATTTTATTAACTTAATTTTTAAAAAATAAATTTATAATAATAATTTAAAAAGTTTTAAATATTAAGCACTTTCTAATTCTGAACACCAAAAATGTAAAAGTTGGAAAAAATTTCAATTATGGAATTGATACTGAAAATTTTACACATGGAGACGGAAGAAATAAAGAAGGCGGAAATACATATCAAATTATGAGTATTTCAAATGAATATCCCAAAAAATTGGACGAAGGCGTAAATAGTCTAGAGAATAAATTCTTAAAGAGAGGATTTGAACAGAACAGTCAAATTCTCACAAATGAAGCCTACACCGTGTTTGAAGGTTAAAATTCCTTTCCTCAAGGCAATCACGAAATGTTTATCCCGTGCTTGGTTAGAGTCAATTCAAACTTTCTTTTTAATTACTCATCCCTTGGAGAAACTTCTTGAATTACTTATTTCCTTCTTTCTTTCACGAACTCCGCTCCGAGTATTTTAACATCCTGACTCCATCTCAGCTAATTCCTATTTGATTCGTGTAGCCATAACCAATACTGGTAAAGACTAATTTAAACATTCAAGATTTGTTCAATAAAAAACAACATCTTATTTATGACCTGCAGGATGCAGAGTTCGATTTGGGATTTTTTGACACTTGGGACACAGGAGCTCTATTTATTTTCCACGAAGCAGGAATTAAAAATGTTTTTGGCATTAACAACACCCAACTTAATGCTTACCAATTTAAATATGCTGGGAAGGAGTTTCCAAAAAATGTTCCAGGTTTTTATCAAGTATATGACAAAATATTAGTCCGGTAATTTCAGAAATTTATTCGGCCCGAATAGGCGATAATGAATTATTTAATCCTAACCGACTTATTATTACCTATGCAATGGAAGGAAGACAAAAACAAATACTTGAAGAATATGAAAAAAGTTTAGAAATCTTCTCATCTGTTCATAAACAATTGGTTAATTAAATTAAATTTAAATTCTAAACAATTTCGGGTGTTTCCCTTTGTCAGCTTTTTACTTAAAGCAAAAAATGGTCAATCATTTCTTCCTTGAATAATTTCAAAAATTTCCCTGTGACATCATTAATTCAAGCACTCTTCCTCCAAAAATTTCATTTTTTATTTGTAACCAATTATGCAAGGAAAAATGATTGACCATTTTGTACATAAATTAAATAGCTAACTGGGCGGGGGGGGGGGAGTGAATACCGATTTTTGTTGTAACAATAGTTGGTGGATAATTGAATTCAATTAATTTATAATTTTTGTAGATGAAATACATACATTTAATACTGTTGTATGTATGTATTTTCACTATAATAATTATTTGCATTATCCATATTAATTAACTCCTACCGTAGGAAATTTTAATTAATTACCTGCAGTCAGTCGAAAACGTTCTTCGATCTAATTTGAATGACATCAGAATGTTTTGACTAAATCTCTGAGCTAAATGTTCCTAGACTAGAAGAACCTATACCTCAGATATATCATTAATACCTCCAAAATTGCTGGATTTCCTTCAATTTTCGCTTTACGATTTTCGAAGATTTTTCAGTTTCGAAACAGCTCTGGTCATTAAATGAATAGATAATAGATAGATATATGAATTTTACAGGACGACTGGTTTGAAAAAAGAAATCAACAAAACCACTCAACAACAAAAGGTCAACAAAACCTACCAACAACACAAAGCCTTTATTCTATGATTAAAGGAATATTCCTTAACGGGCATGAATTGTTTGATTTTCCTTTAGGTGAAAACAAACCTGAAAATGTTTTTTATGTTGGTGGAATTCATTTGAAAGAATTTAACGATAAAAAGGCAAGAGTTTTTTAAACATTTAAATAAATAGAGCTGTCGGTTTCCACAAATTTTCGGGTAGACGAAATCGAATGACAAACCGAACCGAAACTTTTAACCGAACCGAGAAACCGAACAGAAAATCCTGAATTTTCTGATTATGTTTGAAATAAATATTTAATAAACAAAACGTTATTGTTATCGTTAATATGCGACAAAATTCGGGAGAATAAATAGAGAACAATAGGAAAGGACCTAATTTAGTAGGACACAACAACCATTTAACCAAGATTATTGTTAGAATATTTTTACTTATTCTTGCTCTTTCTCCAAGTATGGACATAATACTTAAATATTTTTATTTTCAAAGGAACCGGAGAGTTCAAACAAACAATTGATTATGAGCATTGAATATTGTAGACAGATTGCTCAACCAGAAACCATAAAAATTTTGGAAAAATTCGTGGCGGCTATTAAGAGTGTGTCAGATTCGAAAAAAATAAATTTAACATTAATTTATGATTGTAAAGCAGGAGGAGATGATTTGGAAAAGTTAGAAGAAGTAATGATAGATTTAAAACATGAAATTAAAAAAATTTCAGACATGCAAAAGGAATTGGGTAAATTTAAAAATTGTTATAAAATTTTAGATGTTTCTACTTTTTAGCAAAAGGTAACACAATTCTTTTAATCACCAACAGCAGTGGATACCAAGTACTTGAAGCATTTTATGAAAATGTCCCAATTTTATCTCTGCCTTATATGGTAGATCAATTTTATGTTGCTGAAGCCTTGAAAATACCTCATGAAATAGAAATCGAGAATTCCGCTGATGGTGGAAAGCCAATTAACGGAGGAGATCACAAACATGGGCAGAAAATGGACGGAAATGGACGAAGCAAATCCCCTGTTCGTGGAAGGTCCCCTGCTCAATCAGAAAATGGACGAAGCAAATCCCCTGTTCGTGGAAGGTCCCCTGCTCAATCAGAAAATGGACGAAGCAAATCCCCTATTCGTGGAAGGTCCCCCGCTAAAGGCAGTTCTCATGCTAGACCTTCAAGTTTGGACAAACATGGCGAGAATCATCACTTAATTGTTAAACAAGAAGTGGTTAGACTTGCTCCAACATTAAGCTTCAACAATATGTCAAAGAATATTAAAAAGAGTGGAGATAATGAGGCTATTGAAGACATTGCAGATATTGAAGCGGTATTGGAAGAGTTGTTGGATGGCAGGTAATTAATTTTTAATATATGTAAATTTGAGAATAATATTGAAATTTTGTTTCTGTTCTTTATTTTATGCTCACAAAAGCCTGCAGGCTTTATCCGAAAGTTAAATTATTTATTTAAAAAAGAAATTATTTTTTGAAAAATAGAAAATTTTTATTTCAGTCACAAGGTAAAGGTTAACAAAGTTCATGAATATTTACGCCAGACATTGAAAAAGAACAATCCAAAAGATATTTTCCTCGCTAAAGTAAATGAAGCTCTTCGCAATTCTAATGGAGAAAATGAACTGGATTGAAAAGTACTGGATTGAACAAGAGTGAAAAGTAAATTGTAAAAATGTAAATATTTTTATTTATCGAGTCTGTCACTTTATAATTTAAGTAACATACCCCAAAATGTTTTACTCAAAATCTTCTTTCAGGTTCGGGGTCGATTATACGTTTTTCATTACCCCGTTTTTATTCACAAATTTCGGAATTATTTCATTGTAAAAATTTTTAAAGTCCCCATTTATGTACAGTAAGAGGAAGGTAAATGTTTAATATAGCGATACTGCTTCATTGATGCTTTCACTCTTTTAATAGTTTCTAGACGCCTCTTAGTATACCTCTTGAATGCTAACAACCTTTATCTACCTCTTACTCACTATATGTCACAAAAACTGTAGAACCCTTCTACATATATCTGATGTACCGATGAGCTATGAATTCGATTTGAAGTGTTATGAGAATATAACTCAAACTGTTAAAATTCCTATAACTCTTGGGTCTATAACTTTGAGACATCAAAAATTTATAAATTGAATATTCAACATATCTTCGATGTACAGCCATTATTTGAAAATTAATTTCTTTTAGAAAAATCATAGATCTACGGTACATCTGGTATAAACCAAGATTTTAACTTGAAACAAGTAAATACCCCAATGTATTTTATTTATTTTTTTTCGTACCATGTAATTTTTTATTTATTATATATTTTTAACTTTATTTTTTAATTCTGTAGTTTATCGATAAATTTGTAGAGTAAAATTGTTTTATTGGTCTTCGCGACGACAGTAGCGAAGCGGTCGCCACGGCGACCATAGCTAACTTTTAGACTTTGTGGATGGGTAAGAACAAAATGTCATAACTTTGTCAAATCAAGTCAGATTTGTTGATTTTGGTGTCATTCGACTCAGCTCGACGAGCTCTTTCGAATGAGGTATAATCCGCATATTCGAATTTTTACCCCAGAAATGTGCTTACTTGATTAAGATTTTTGACTTCTTGGCCTTCCAAAATTTTCGCTCGGCAGTAAAAGAGAGAAGAAAAAAGTTGAAAAGTTACGTTCAATTTTGCGTGTCACGACACTTGCAGATATGACATTTGCAGACCCGACACTTGCAGACCCGACTTTTGCAGACCCGACATTTGCAGATACCGACACTTGCAGATATGACACTTGCAGATCAGACATTTGCAGATCCGACTTTTGCAGATTAGACCCATTTCGCTCTCTTCTTTACCTTACTTATACACCGTGGAGTGTTTGCTGCTGTGGAGGAATCCTGGGATGCCCATCTCATCGATGATAGGAATAGGATCATGTTACGGGCCCAGAGCCCAGCGACCGTTGACTCCCCGCGAGGCGCGTGCCGCAAAACCCCGCGCGAAGCGCGGGGTTTTGCACAAGTGCCTCGCCGACGCTCCATAGGTCTACGTTGAACATTTTGAACATTTTTTTTCTCCGGAAAAAAGAGTGGTGACGGCGACTCAGCTCGTCAAGACGAATTGGTATGGGTCTTATATTTGATTTTTTAAGATTTTTAAATTTTTTTAAATTTAAAATTTTTTTCAAAAATTAATATCTGCAAAAGTCGGATCTGCAAATGTCTGATCTGCAAGTGTCATATCTGCATGTGTCGGTATCTGCAAATGTCGATCTGCAAAAGTCGTCTGCAAATGTCGGGTCTGCAAATGTCATATCTGCAAGTGTCGTATGACCCAATTTTGAGAATTTTTGCGGAATAATAAGTGACCAGATACTCGGTACTTATTCCCCCCCTCCCAGTCCGCTTCTTACTTTTTTACGGAATGGTCAGTATTTTCTTCCTTGTATAATTTTTGAAAATTTCCCTTATTCATTCACTCACCCTACCTTCAATTCAGGCAATTTTTTGTTTATGATTGCCCGTCTTATACATTTTGCCCTTGTTACTAGTACATAAATAACTGAATAAATCGACGTTCTTTGTTTATATTTAAAGACGGATACAAATGAACAGTAAATTATTGAAGAAAGAGTTCGTGGATGACCAAATACTCAAAGTTCTGTGCGTGTCTTTCAAACTTAAGGAACAGACAAGTCAAGGGACGACAAATCAATGTCGGACAATTCAAGTTTTTACCAAATCACGGAACGACCAAATCATGGGACTTTCTGTCATTTTTTAAAAACAGAATATTTTTGAAGATCAAAATTTAAAAAAATTCTGATTTTCAAAAATATTTTGCAGACAAAATTGAAAATTCAGAATGTTCCCTGAATTGGACGTTCCGAAAGTTGTTAAGACTGTGACTGTCGTTCCGTGACTTGTTTTCGTGGCCGTGCAAAATCAAAGCTTTTCATATATGTATTAAGGTTGGCGGATAGTTGGAAATCTTCGGATAATCCTATATCCGACCCGAAAATTTCCGGATATTCGGCTATTTTTCGGATCCGGATATCCGGATCGCCAACCTTAATATGTATAAATTCAATTTAAGGAAAAATGTCTTCTAACACATTCCTTTGCATCATTTGTTCTGAAACTTTGACTCGTAATAATATATACTCAATCCCTTGTGGTCATGTTTTTCACAAGGAGTGTATTACAAATTGGTCCCCTCAGGTCAAAAATTTAATTAAAAACCTAGCCTTAATTTTTTTCTTTTTAGTCAATGTGGTGC